TGACGATGGCTTCAGGACATTTATGTTTTTGACTGTATATGTATATTGATGATTTACGCTTCCGCTGTTGATGACTTGTGACGTACTTATATTTTGACGAACTTTTGGAAACTTTATACTTTCAGTAACCGGATGATTTTATTAAAACTTAAAATAACGGTTTTCCAAATTAAGTCACGTTGTAAGGTAGCACCCCTAATCAGTTTTCGCAAAGTAAAAAGGTTTTATTTTTAAAAGACTTTGCGAAATTTTTCGCACTCTGATTTAACGATAAGGAGGGGTGTTACACGATATGTGTATCAAAAAAGTTACTATAAATAGTGAACTGATAATACTTGTAGGAGATCCGATTTTTCTCCCCAAAAAAACCGAACTTTTCGATTATTATACACGAAACAGCTCATAGAAGCTTTTCACCTCGGTTCACCTCGGACCGGGGCCATTGTTGAGTGTTTTACCCATGCTTTACGTCCAAATCATTCATTATCGTTAAATAAATTCAGCATTAGATCGTTGTTAAGAATCACATAACAACACTACCACTGTGAGCACTATGGCCAGACATGTTTACATCCTTACTAGCAGCAGTGGGATCCAGTCCCGATTGAGCAATCATATGAATATTGTGGCAATTCCTCGGAATATTGTGAAAAGCTTGACCAGATTCTTGCTATCATGACATCCCAAGCAACTCGAAGGGAAGTTATTGAGGCCCAAGAGAAGAACCTTTCGGAGCGCATTCAAGCTCTAAAGGATCGAGTTTACAATTCTATCCACGATCCTCCCGTGCAAGGTGAACATTAGGAGAACACTTTGACGTTTGACAAAAAACTCAATCTCGTTCTTGCTCGTGTGTCGTCCCAAGCAACTCAACTAGAGGAGATTGGGGCTGGATGCACTCAATTGGTGGTACAATTAGACGATATAATGGAACAAATTCAATCTGTTAAGTCACAAGTCGATGAGCCTATTATCAAGGACTATCAGATTTACATGGGCGAGATTTAAGAAGAGGAAGATGCTCTCCCAGAAAATGAGGGTGATATCCTGATGAAGGAAGCTCCTGGGTCCAAATTCGAGATTCATTCACTTGAGCCATCTCCCAACATCATCAAGAAGGCTCCATTTAGCTTGATATGCCAGTTTAGTCAAGCTAATGGCGTTAAACAAATTCTTCTTGGGAGGCAATCCCAGTTTTATTTATCGCTTTCATTTTTATTTTCTTTTTGCTTTTTAGTTTTATCTTTTAATAATTAGAGTTTGGAGTTTGTGTGGTTTTCTTGGCAGGACATATCGGGGACTGGGTTGAGCGTGGGTGAACGGCTTGCACGTGAATGCTTATTCTTCTTGGTGCATCTTCAGTTTGCATACCTTTTCTCTTTTTATCTTGTTAAGTGTGTTTCTTCTTCTTGTCTTCTCTACTTAGTTTTGTGTTCTTTTGCTAGCTGCTAGTATTGATTCATGATATGAAACTGCTAGGTTCTTTTATTTGACGTCCTGTTATGTGTTGAAGCAATGAGGACATTGCCTCATTTTAAATGTAGGGGAAGTTTACTTTGATTTTGCATTCTTATGCGGTGGACCAGTCTAGTTTTAGGTTTTGTGTTTTGTGAAGCATGTGGTATTGGTGAATTATACGATTTATTGATGATTGTTTTATAAAAATTGAGAAGTTTTGATGACGGATGTGTTGGTAATTGCCTCGATATATGCTTGATTGCTTTGAGGGACATTTAGTTGCTTTGTCAGGTTTTGATCCTTAAACCTCTTTCTTGTGAGATATTGGTCATATTCTTGAATGATTAAAGCTTGCCTTGATTCTTTTTTAAAGGAATCGATTAGAGTTTGAAATTACGAAAGTGATTGAGGCGTTTTGTTTGATTAACTTTCTTTAGCCTTGTTCTTGATCCTAAAAGTACATTTTCCGCTAGTCGCCCGTTTGAGCTTGAAGCCTTTTTTTTTCAACCCGTTGACTGATTTGTGTGATAATGGGTGAAATTGGTGGCGTCTTTGAATGAGGTGAAATTAGAGTTCCATAATATTGCTCGACCTAATACAAAAGAGAGAGAGAGAGAGAGAGAGAGAGAGAGAGAGAAAATAAGAGCCCGCAAGACAAATCGATTGGATTCTACTCTCCTTATTTGTGTATTCATTTAGACGAGTAATAAGTATTGGGAAACCACTGTAGGACACATGGATGACCTCCAATGTTCAAACCTATACAATGTTGTCCTTACGATTCGAGCTTGTTAAGAAAAAAATTAACTCCCTAAATAAATCTTATTCCAAAAAAAAAAGAGAAAAATATCGAGTAATGAAGTTGCAATTTGATTAGAGCATTTAGATGTTGTTTGTGGAATTGTTGTTGGACGCTATTTGTGCTATCTTGTTGATTTAGGATGAGTAGCAGATCCTTGAGTAGTTTATTTGCTTGAGCATTGTGATCGTCTATTTGAGCTTCTAGTCCCGCATATCCAAAAAGCCTCATTTCAACCCATGAAGTCCTCTTGATTCGCAAGTTTTGAAATTTGATTGATTTTGAGTAATTCTAGACGATAGGCAAGCATATGTTGAAACTTGAATATTGACCAATCTGAGCGTACCTTTCATATAATTATGTAAGAAACTGAGTGAGGCTTATTCTTGTATTTTTGTGTTTGAGTGTTGTCATTTCAAGGCTAAGTTATCAATTGGGGCATATGGTCTGATTGTCGTTGGAATTCGACTCGGTTGAGTTGAACATTTTGAGGCTCTTCTTATTTGAAACCATTACCCATGCTCGTGCCTTTTTTTATTTTTATTCGGGACAAACAAAAGTTTAAGTGTGGAGGAGTTGTTTGTTCCATTTTTGTTGCATTTTTCGTTGTTATTTTACCTATCTTTTTCCCCCGCCACGCCCGTGGAGCCCCGCCACGCCGCGGCACATGCCGACCTTCAACCGCGCGGCATCTCGTGGCGCGCACCAAGGGCTGACAGAGAACACGCGTCTCCCAGGCGCCACGCCGCTCAACCCCTTCACACCGCGACACCTGCTCCTCTCACGCCACGCCACACCTGCCACGCCGCGACATATGCGCCCCTCACGTCGCGAGATGAGTTCAACGGCGTGACACCCTCACTCCTGTATATATGTGGACGGGGCCTCGATTAATAAATCATCTCTTTTTCCGGGAGGATGAACAAAAACCCTAGCTCCTGAATCGATAATCTCGGTCTTTTCTTTTTCCTCTCTAAAAAACTCATCTTTCTCCTTGTTTTCTCTTAAGTTTTGGACAAAGCTTGTAATTCAGATTCGACGTTGGATATTTGTATCAATGGTAAGTATTTCTTTTATTTAATTGAGGAAAATAATTGCGTGGGCTAAAATGATTGATTGTGTTGAACTGAATTTGCTTAGTTAAAATCCAATTGCTAGGGACAGGGGTAGTTGTTCTTGTTCGTGCGAGTTGATTTTAAATAGGATTGTTGAATTCTTGCTTAATTGTTCAATATAATTGAAGCGTGACACTTCAATCTTGCAACTGGAAACAATTGAATATTGATCTTTCGAGTAAAGGTTTTTTATTCTAAATAATTAGTTGATTAATCATCTTCTAGTTTAATTTAGCAACTTTTAAAACTGAAGGGGGAAAGTTGTAGACCTAGGCTTGATGAGATAGATGATTTCGTAATTGAATAGTCTATATGTTTTGGATTGAAGTACACGCTCGTCGAGGTCCTTTCCCTAGTTACAAGTTATTGGATTGGATACTTGGTCGGTGTTGTATGCTCGAACTTGCTCGTCTATGTTCAATCATTTGTTGCGAAAAGTTATTGGGAGCAAACCACTAGATGTTTAGGCGAGAGCGTCAATATTGTACCGAACAATTAATTGTTCGGTTTTGCGAATAGAACTCAAATTAATGTTCCCCGACTACCTAACTCATTCATCGTGATTAAATCGTATTTTAGATAGATTTATGTTTTTGCATTGGTAATATTTCTTAGTAGATAATTAATTTCAATCCTATGTTGATTAGAATGTTTAGAACTTATTTGTACACCAATTTTAGAATCCGAATCGCTTTTCTCGAGAGATCAACCCGGAGAACGAATCCTTTGATTCGGTACTCGATAAATAAACACAATTTGCTACAACAGAAATCTACGTCTCAGAATCAGTAATTTTTGGAATGTAAGTTCTCGGATCCTATCAATATTTTTCGTTGCAGTAGGATTAAATTCTTTAAGACATTCTTAACCGAACCAACACAGTCGCCCTCATAAAGTCTCAACAAATCCTTAAAAAATTCAAATGAATATAACTCCGAATTCATGGAAAGCCCTCGAATATTTT